TGTAAGCGGATTAAAAGTAAGATTAACAAACTGTCAAAAAGTGTGTTAAATGATAGCTCCTGCTAATTAAAAATTCTGCTGGTTCTAAAGCTCTGTTGGTGGCCATCTTGCTTGGGGAGGTTCCACACAGGCGAGGCTGGTGAAGGCAGGGCACAGGAGTCAGCATGGCTGCCTGGAGCAGCACGGGGCAGGAGGCAGAGATCAGAAATGAGCAATTCCTACAGAAAGAACGCATTCTGTCCCAGTGAGATTTACGTTTTAACACACACATCAACAGCAAGAAACACTGCAGGAAAATAAAAAAATTGCTCAGCCCATTATTGGGAGAGAATTTCTTTACTCAGTTGATATTTACTGAAGAAGATTCTAACACTTGCACAGTTTTGCACACTGTTTGGCTGTGGTAGCCTCATCTTGATGCTCGGCCAAGCTGGCCACATCCACTCCTGTGTGGCATGAGGCACTGTGACAAGGCAGCTGTGGTGAGAGCTGCAGCCAGCCCACTCTCCATCTGACACCAAAACACGTCGAGGCCCTGTGCACGCCTGGTGCAGGCCCGGTGCAGGCCCGGTGCAGGCCCGGTGCAGGCCCCATGCGGGCCCGGTGCAGGCCCGGTGCAGGCCCCATACGGGCCCGGTGCAGGCCCGGTGCAGGCCCGATGTGGCTCTGCTAGCTGCCCCACCAGCACCGCCATGTACTGGGGCAGGCTGAGCTGCACTTTGGGGCCTCATGGCACCGGTGAGCCTCACAACCAGTGCAAAACAGGGCCTCTACACACTGAGGATAAACAAATTTCCTCTTTTTTCTCCAGTGATGTCATCTGCAGGGTGGAAATGCAACCACTAGCAGCAGGTTCAGCAGGCACCTTGGGAGACTGAGCCCCCATGGCCCTCGGGCCGGGAGTGAGGCCACAGCCCATGGTCAGGGTAGGTAGCCCGGCCCAGGTGCTCCCCAGATGGCAAGCGAGAGCCTCGGGCTCAGAGCCCACACCAGCAGAGAGGGGAAAGCAGCTGTCCACTGTGGAACATGTCCCTCTGGCCATGCTGCAGACCCCAGCGCTGCTCCTGCACAGCCTGAGCAGCAGCCATGGGCCACACAGCGATGTGCACAGGCAGCTGGCCAAACTTAAAGGGAAATATTGTATTTTTAAAAGAATACACTACAAAAGTGAAAGAAACAAAAGAAAGTCATTGGGTGCGTTCTCGCAAGTTTTTCCACTGATTTTTTTAGCGCAGTTTAGGGTTTATCTTTCCTGTTTGTTAAAGGGCTACAACCTGGTCTCCACTTAAAATGCATAATAAATATCACTACATTTATAGCACAAATCTGAAGTGACAAGAGAAAGGGAATGAGAAAGAGCCAATGCTCTGAGGGTGCAAAACCACTTCTGTGTGCATCCTCAGGGTACAAGAGGGGATGTGATGGCATGTCTTGTGGAACATGGGCTGTATTTCTCTGGGTTCATGGAGTGTCTGGCACTTAGGAAATCAGAGTTGTAAACTGAGCTTAACCCAGAACAAAGAGCTCAACAAGGCCTCCAAATGCCTTCTGCCCAAAAAAATCACACATATCATCACTGGCACTCCAGGCCGCTATGATCAAGACTGTTTATCCTGAATCTGTCAAAGAAGTCTTTGTCCTGTTATTTGATTGACAATAACCCCTTTGATAAACCTTAGTGGGTATGAACCAATACACTGCAAATAGATACCTATATAAATAAAATTTATATATATTTCGACAAATATAATTGTCCTTCTCTGAGAGAGGAAAAATACAGAGAGCAGTCATGATGAAAATGATCTGTAAAAGTTTTAAATCACCATCTTAAAGAGGTTATTAAACAGTATTTTAAAGCACAGTGGGAGTTGGATTTTTCTGCTGACTTTGATTGGGGTTTTTTTCCAGAATAATTTCAGATAGGAGACTTGAAAGAACAAGTTTAAAGAAAGTACTTTCAGCCACTTATAAAGCTTTGATTATCACACAGCCCTTAGATTTAAGCTTCATTGAATGCCTTATGATAATCTTTTTTTTCCATCAAAAGGCAAATTAGAATATTCCACTTACAACCCTTTTTGCCATTTCTTCAAAGGATTCCTTGCACTGGCAGTCTGTTTTGGCTGGAATAAGATGTTTCTGCCCATACAACAAATTATTTGTAATGTGCTCAAATTTGTCACCATGGCCAACGTCAACAAACCCCACCACCATCCCCAGGAGCAGAATGGGTTTGCTATTTAGTCATTGTTGGAGCCGTGCAGGGGCTCTGAGGAGTCAATAGATGGCAGTCCATCTCCTAGGAAAGGCACGGAAAATGAATGAAATAACCAAAACCCTCAGAAAGGACAGAGGTGGAAGGCCCTGCGATTCTTCACCAGCACTCACAGAAATTAACTAAGAACACTTGGTCGAACGCAAAACACTGGGACAAACTCTGTGACAGCCCTCTGCAAACGGCGCTAAAATCCAGTGTATTATCACAAAACCGAGCCCCCGAGTTCATCTGCACGAACGTGGGCCTGCTCGTGGGATGCCCGCCATCCCGTCACCAAAACCAGTTTAAGTTTAGTGGTTTATCCCTGGCTGAAGCTCAGGAAAAGCTCTTCTGTGGCCCTCAGCAGCTAGGCAGCCTCTGTGGGCCATGACAGCCACAACAACACTTTTGTTTTAAACATGTGGTATTTTCCTTAACGCTGTTCCTATCCTGTTTGCACAAAAATATTCATTCCACAACAGGAAAATTGTAAGGTAATTTCTACAGTGAAATGCTACTGATATGAGAGTAAAAAAAGTGCTAATATGAGAGTAAAAAAACTTGACTTTTTGTTATAATCCTACTGATATATACATACATATATGTATGTATATATGTATGTAACATATTTAGTCATTACATGTAATTCTAATTTAAAAGTTTTGTTTCTTGCCAGAACATTATTTACTTCTGCTCTGCTTCAGCTGCAAAAGATAATATTTAAAGGGAACAATAAAAGAGAAATTTTTTAAAAAATCAGATAATGCAGTTTCTTTGAATTTACTTACTGGAAATATTAACCATGTATTTTACCACACAAATTTTAAAATTCCAGGCTTAACCCAGCTGCTAATGTAACTTTGAGCCAAAGGTACTCTTCCCAAGCAAAAAATGAAGGCGTGCAAAACATTTCCTACATGTCAGAAATGTGTATTATTTGCAGATAAACTGCACTTGACTGCAAAGTAAAAATCTATTTATCAGAAGGCAGGGCCTGATGCAAAACCAATTAATCTGTGAGTGTCATATTTGACCACCTTTCAAAATGTCCCCAAAATGCACCATAAATTTCCGAATGGGTACTTTTAATAATATGCTCATCTTTGTAACCACTACATTTTCTACCAAGAACTTGCTTTGACACCTCTTCTTAGTTTTACTCTATATTAAGTGTAAACCCTGAATGCTTTCTACAAAATCCACAGAAATAATTTCCCACCTCAAGGTACCTCAAATTTTGCCCTAGTACAGCACTTGGTCAAGGTTAAGCTACCCCCTGCATTTTTTTTACAGATATAAATATTTTATAAGTGTTGATGGCAACTCACTTTTTGAGGAATTTTCAATGGCAGGTGCGACGAAAATTAAATTACATCTTTTATCTCAGTAAAAAACAGAACTCAGGATATTACTGCACCAAATATTTCTATCTGATTATTAAGTTCCAAGTGTTATAAACATTTCAGAAATTATTTTTACATGCACCCTTAGGAATGATAATGAAAACCGGCATTTCACTTTTTCTACTTCCAATTTAAAAACAAAACAAAAGAAACAGAAATACTCAGTGAATGCACCTTCTTTTTTCTCATAATGTTTTCCTTTAAAAACACCCCCAAACCAACCAAACCAACAAAAAATGTTTACCAAATCTGTTTAAAAGTAAATTCTCAGGAAGGGTGGAGGATTTCCAGGGTAGATCTTTGTGTTAGAATCATTATGCACAAAACACAAATGAGAGGTTTTAGGTGCAGATTTCTTCTATTCATTGAATTTTGAAGAAAAAAGCAGAAAAAAGAGCATTCCATTGCCATGAAGAGGTGGAGGCACAAATTATAAAGCACATCCCATTTACTACTTCAGAGAAAAAGCCAAAGATTCAAAAAGAAAAGTAGTGGAGAAACTTTTCTACTTTGTTTAGAGCAGAGAACAGGGGTTAATTATCTGTAACAGCAAAAAACGTGTGAGGCCGAGCTGGGGAGCAACAACAGCAAAAGTGCAGAGCAACAACAAAGCCCTGATTTTTAAAGGTGTTTTTATGTTTGACAATTTTAGAAATTAATATATTTAAGGACTGTGACACCAATGCAAGAATTTGTTTTTACTGGTTAAATACTGTACGAGGTTTCAATATTAACTAAATTCGTATGCATTTAGTTTTATTTTTATACCTATTTTACATATGAAGAAAAACCTTAAGTAATAAACTGGTACAGTTTCACAAAGTTTTATTTTCCTGTTTCAGGGATTAACAATCAACTAAGGCAGGCCAAACAGGCAGTCACAGCTATATCCTGACTAACTATAAATTATCTGCAAAAGTTTATGAAGTGTTTTTCCTCAAATTCATGTCTCCGCTCTAACTGAGATTTATTTCACTCATCTAAGAAGAAAGCTTTGTCACACAGAGTGACTAATTACCAGCATCTGGGATATCTGAGATGGGATTACTGCTTCTGCTATGCATCCCAACTTAAAATTTAACGCTCTATGTGTAAATGTGGTCACTGAGAGAGGAGAGGCAAAGCATTAATTTAATTATTACAGTATTAAAATGAAATCAGAAGTTTTAAAGATGCTTAAAAAATAGTGACAGTGTTTCATTGCCTTCTTCAGTTCAAAAACTCTTCAGATGTTTATTATCTTCTCAGAGAAGATGCTTATCTATATTTTATGGTCAGCAGTTCACAGAGGAGTAAATAGGTTGGGTGTAGAAGAAAATAAAAAAGGTGTTTCTACTTACTGTTAGGTGATACTGCCTCCATATTTCTGGGCAAGCCTGGAAAATAAAAATATTGATCAGCTAGGAGCATGAAACAAGGTGCTTTACAGCCTGTTGGTTTTGGCATAACACAGTATCCACTGGTGTCGGTCACAGGAAAATAAGAAGCTTAACTGAAAGGGTCTGCATTTCAGCTTCAAAAACCCGGCTAGACAGTTTAATTGAATTTTACACTGGTTTAACACACTCCCTGCCATTGTCAGAAAGCCAGTAACAGTTTTCTCTCTGCCCTTTTTCTCCGAGGGGCAGAAGTTTGGGAGAGCAGTGTGTTAGTGACTGTAGGAAGCATTAATGCTGCAAAACAAACAGGGGCGGATTTAAATTCTACATTTTCTGACATTTTAAATTTAAATAACGGTCTAGAAATTAAATCACAAGGTCCCTTCCTTTAACTTAGGAACAGAAGTATTTTATCTTTTTTGTACGTATCTCTTTCCTAATCAAAATATAATTGTTACATGTAATAATCCTCAGCAGCCTCATGTCAGATGAGTTGTAAACAAGAACCATAACAGATTGCTTTAATGTTGCTATTTTTACAATGACTTGCTTGCTTTTTTTTTTTTTTTTTTTACTTTTAATTTTTTCAAATTGCCAGACTTTTACACCAAGTCCTAAATGCAGCCCTTTGAAAAAAAAAATTTCGGAGGAGGTTTTTGAGTCACAGAAGTGACACAATTGACCTGAGGGACACATGAAAGATGGTAAAGAGGAAAACGTGGATCTTTAAAACAAAATCTGAACATGGTAGTGGTCAGTAAGGCTCAGATCACTCTCTCGGGGTTTTTTAATGTTTTTACAAAATGTACAATATTTCTGACGGCCCCCGAGCCACCGGCAGACACGGAAATTGTGGCACTTTTTGCCATTTTGGTGCACAGCTACTGCAGCGGAGGGCTTTCACTTCTCTTTGGAACATTTGCCCTCTTATTACAACAGCTCTGCACTCATTTGAACAATTAGCAACTTGGTTTGCCAACCTTCATCTTAAATACTTTAAAAAGAAATATAGTATTCCACGGCTTCTCCATAATATGCTGCAGCTGCAATTTCAAACGCTGAAGCCTCATGACTACTTGCAAATGAGTACTATTAACATTTCTTTAGATTTCGAATAAATTTTTCACTCATGCCCAAATTCTTGCCTTCTTTTATTTTGCTGGAGCGTGTTAATTAAAAAAAACCACACACCACAACCAGTATCTCTCAAAATAAAATCCAAGTTTTTGCCAGTCACCCTGTGGCACATACAGTGTGTTTTTCCCAGATGTGATGGAAATGATATTATTTATTATTCATTCCACAGTAACATAATTGTCTGTAGAAAAATCTACAATCTGTTCTGTGTAATGGTTTAACATTTCTCCTCTTACTCAAATACTGTGTGTAAATATTTGAGTTTTATATTAATATTTCTATAAAGGAAATGTGTGAAGGACATCACATTCTTCACCGAGGATCTGACAGTTTCTACACACTCAAGCTGTCTTTGAGGACAAACAAAAGGATTTTCCTCCTTCCCTAACTTAGCCAGGGTTCAGAGAGGCAACATACAACCACTCTGCAGCCTGTAAAAACATTGTGCCAGAGCTCTGAGCATCTCCCTCAGACCTGAGGAGGTTTCAGCTGTGCAGGACAGCTGTGCTGGTCCGGCTCAGGGGTAGCAGGCAGTTATTTATGCATTAGTTCTGGATAGTTTTCGATTACCACAGTGTGCCCAGGCTAATATGGTTGAACAATTGCAATCAGTGAGTTGTCCTATACTGGCAAAATGCCACTCTGTGGTATGACCTTTACTCACACGACTGCTGTTTAATAATCATCACCATCATCATAAAAATTAGTTTATTTTTGAATAATTGTTTGGTTGCATATTTTTTCTGCTCTGGACACAAAGGCAGCACTCTGAGCAAAAATCTGTAGCTCTGAGTGAGAACCACAGTTGGCAGAGCTCTTGTCAAAACCCTGGGAGAGGCACAGTCCCAGCCCTTCGTGGTGCTGTCCAGAGCTGGGTTTGATCGTCAGGGACATTTTAAGAGTGAGGGAAAATCAAAAGAAGGTGGTGAGGGAAGGCTAAGTATATTTCTTCATTCGGGTGGTGACTCGGGGTAATACAGCTCAGCATTATGAAGTGGGGTACAACAGCTGAGGAGGGGTGACTGTTAAACAACAGCTTTTCAGAGATGATGCTTTTAACCAGGAACCTCATTACTTTGCATCAGCTCGGGGTTGTTGTCTGCATCTTATATAGTGGAATGACAAATACTATGATTAACAATTACTACCAAATACTGTCTCGTCAAATGAAGCAGAGAGGTTTGCTATGGAAGAGAGCATAGCCAGACACAGCCGCTGCCAAAACCATGCTTTTCCTTATTTATTTAAAAGAACTTAAGCATGAACGACCCTCGTTTAAAGAAAAACCCTTGTGGTACCCAGCCACTCTGGCAGCGTGATGAACTACATTAAAATAAAATTGCATTTATTTCCTGCCCCAGTGGTCTGACCTTACGTGCATTCAGATGTACCAGCACAAAAGGTGCCTACCCCATTGGGCAGTGGCGCTGCCGCCGCGCGGCCGCCGAGCACACGGGTCTGGTTTGGGGCATCCCACCCCTGCCAGGGAGCCCCCAGTCTGGCCTTTGCTGTCCCCTGAACCCCAAAAACTGCTGCCATTGTCCCACGAACCCCAAATTGCTGCCATTGTGCCCTGAACCCCAAATTGCTGCCATGGACCAAGAACCCCAAACTGCTGCCATTGTCCCCTGAACCCCAAACTGCTGCCATTGTCCCCCAAATCCCAAACTGCTGCCATGGACCATGTCCAGCCAGCGTGGAGGGACCATCACTCCTGCCTGAGGCTGGCCCAGTGCAGGGCTCCATAATGGGAGAATCCAGGCTGGGTGCTGCACATTTTGACCCATATTGAATTTTATCAGGTGCTAATTATTGTTTTACCAGAACAACGGCTTAATGCATCTGTTGTTTAATTCCCACTTCCCTATTCTCCGATGTGAACATCAAAGAAAATAAAACACTCAATCTCAAACAGCCCCTGACAGCAGACCGGGACTCGAGAGCTCAATAGACGAGGCCCTTGCCACCAGTTCTCATATTTCCACAACAATGAGCAAACACAAAACCGGCACTAAGCGGCCTTTGCTCCTTTCCGCTCCCCTCGGCCGGGCGTCTGCCGAGCGGGCCCGGGGCGGCGGCGCTGCGGGGCGAGCGGCGCGGGGCGCGGATTAGCCCCGCTAACGGGCGAGTGCCGGCCGGCACAAACCCCGCACTGCAGCCGGCTCGGATCGCCAAAATGCACGCGCTGACAGCAGACCGGGACGGGCCCGCGGCTCCCCGGGAGAAAATGTAGCTGTGATGAGTGACAGGGCTTTCAGGAAATATGTTCACAATCACAGACAGTGAAGGCCATGACCTAGATCGTTTAAGAGCTTGTCTTGTCAAATTATCAAAAGCTTCTTCGTCTCTGAATAAAGAGTGACATAAGTGAGTGTCAGAAAGCTGCAGGCTGACAAGCCAAGCATACAATAACAGCATGCACGTCACATACTTGCCGAACACCGCCACGGCTAGCGGCAAATCTTAATGAGAGCGCGGCTGGCCCAGGAGACTTGGGTCCCTGCTGGCATAGCTACTCATCTCGCAAAAATCCTTCAGCTCCGAGTCAGTTATGGTCTGACACGACGACTACAATTACTAAACACAACTTTTTAACAGAATCCTCTGGTGCTTTGTCAAAGAGGCAGCGGCTGCTTGGAGCTGCCCCGCTGCAAGCCACCACAATAAAACAAAAGATTTGCCAAAACACACACTTTTCATCACCTCCGCATGGGAACTGCCGCGGAAAACACACAATGCTTCCCTTCAAAGCCGCTCCTGCACGAGCAGATGTCGAGACCTCTCCCCACGCTGCCGGGGCAGACAAAGCTGGGGCGCTGCTGGTGTCACCCTGGCCCTGGGCACACGGCCACACGCTCGCCCTGGGCTGCATGGCGACAGCCAGAGGTGTGCAGGCTGCGGAAGGACACCGGGCAGCTGGGGACAAAGAGCAGACATGGTGCTCTCCGCCCAGGAGAAGTGGGGCACACGGACGGCAGCTGCCCCTGTGGGATGGTCCCAGCACCTCCATCCCAGCCCACGGCATCGTGCCACAAACAACAAAGGCAGAAGGAACCTCCCCGGAGAGAAGAGGCCAGTGGTGGTTTGCACGCCCAGAAAGTTGTCAGAACATGCAGAGAAGATGCCAGTCGAAGCACCCAGCTGGTTCATGCGAAGGAGTGCTGACAACAAGGGCATTTGGCCATTAGGACAGGGCATCAGACACTGCACCTGGGCCTTGCTGTCTGCCAGCTCCTGGGAGACTCCATCCAGCTCACTGAGCACCTGCATGCTGGTTTTCCCACGTATACAGGGAGACCTGGCCCCCTCTCCCTGCTACATCCCCTCATCATGGAGTCCTCGTCCCACCCCTGCTGCTGGCAGGCGAGGCTGACACCAACCACAAGGCTCCTGACACCCACCTAACTGCCACTGAATCAGTCAAAAGCAGCTCCTTTATGACCCTCCCAAGGAAACCATGCCAGGCCAGGCTGCTTCCAGCACACCTCCAGCTGAGAGGACTCTGTGTGCTCTCAGTGCTGTCTCAGGAGAAGAGACTGATCTGGCAGATCATAAATGTATGCCCCTAGAATATTTTAAGTAACTTAGAATGTTTCCTAACCAAACTCAAGGAAGCACTTTGAACTGCCTCACATTCACTTCTGGACTAAAGTGGAAAGTCAGTCCGACAGACTGTGCACAAGAGCCTGTTCTGCACCCACTGTGTTACAGTAAAAGGGAATAAACTTGCTGAGGAAGACAAATTACAACTTCCTTTGAGTATCCAAAGCATTTCATAACATATATTTGATAACAAGAAGATTGGCATTTCCCTTTTTTAGAAGGAGTTGAATGGGAAAGACAAGCAGTGATAGCTACAAGTTACTCCTGGGGAGATCTCAGGTGGACACAGGAGAAAACTTTTCAATATGAGAACAATCATCTCTTGAGAGAAGTGGAAGATTCCCCAGAGCTGGACACTCTTAGAATTTGTCTGGGCTATCCTGTGTAGACCAGGCTTTTGTCAAGAAACACTGGGGATGCTGATCAGATGATCCATGAAGTCCTTCCAACCTGGGGTTGTGGGGTTCTGTGATTTCTCTTCCACGAACTGCTCCCATTTCCTCTAGAAGCAGGGCAGATCTGCATGCCTCAGTAAGGAGCCTCCAGGTCTGCTGCTGCCCCCACAGAGTTACCTTGGACTGCCTCTTCCCAGCCTGGCTTCTACTGCCTTCATCAGGTCTACTGGAAGAAAGGATGAACAACTGATCCCTCACCACTGTCTCCCATGGCAGATGATTCTGAAGCTCTTTAGAGACCCTTCCCTCTGTCACCTCCCTTGCAGCCTGAGGAGTTGTGGCCATGCTAAGGGATACAGAAGACAGAGACCAAAGCTGTGCCCAGGTGCTCCTGCTATCCTAACATTTCACCAGCATTTTTTTTTTTTAATTGTGAAGATTAAACTGATTTTTTTTTTTTGTGGAATCGTATCTAATAACTAGAATCTGAGTCCTGAACAGTAATATGCAGAACCTGGTATTCCATATGACAAGATGGGATTATTTTACTTTACATTTATTGTCACTCAATTTCAGCTGCCATTTTATTGTGTTCTCCCTCTGATTCTTACAGTTCTTGGGCAGTTCTGCACAGCTGGCTCACAGCACTGACTCTGTAAGTAATTCAGTCTTCTCAGCAAATCTTGTTGCCCCATTGTTCACCCTTTTCCATGTCACACTAGCATATCCCACCTTTATCCTCTTACTCCATGCCTGTTTAGTTTGCTTGAAAGCTTTTGGTCAGGAACTTTGTAAAACGCCTTTTGGAATTTGTAGACTATGTCAACTGGATCATGTTTACACACATGCTTGTCAACCTGCTCCTTTGAAGAACTCCAGAGATCCCTGAGAACTGGGATTTCTTTTACAAAAGCAGCCTTGAATCACCTCATGTATATTATATTTTTACACCCATCCTAACATGCCACCACCATGGTTCCTGCCCCCTGCCTTGGTGCACACGTGCAGCTGGCAGTCTGGGACCCCCCAGCTCTGCTGGGACATTGCCTACACGCTGTCCTTGCCTTAACAACTCAGTTACCACCCATGCACCAAGCAGGAGGTGTCTGCTGTCATCACTGCCTGGGCCATTTCACCCTCATGCTCCTCTCCAGCTTTTGGGCAGTTGTTGCCCAGTTTTGGAAATAGGCTAGCACTCACAGGTTCTCTTCTATTTGGCAACTTCTCTGGTGCTCCCCTGCACAAAGTAAGATTTCAGCATGGTAACATCCCTGATTTCTTCTGCTATGAACATCCCAGATGCCAAAAAATACCTTTAGGCCATCAGCAGCAACCTTGTCCTGTCCAAGCGTTCCCTTAGTGTCCTGATCACCTGTTGGCTTCACAGGCGTTCTGCTCTGATCTCAGGAAAGATTTACTGTTGGTTTTGATTCCTTTGCCTTTGCTCTGCCATGCCATCTCTCTCTGTGAGGACTGGGCAGGTGAGCTCCTGCTTTGATGCCCTGGTATTCACACAGGTGAATGGCACAGACAGCCTCACACCTCCCATGCAGGAGTGCACAAGAACTGCCCCAAGTTTCAAAGCAAAACCTTTCTGATTTAAGGAGGACCTAAATGAGCAGAAAAAATATATGCTGTGATGTTCCTAATAAGCTGCACGGCTCAGGTAGGATTTAAATGCTTATATGATAGAGCACTCATGATTCTTTAAAGAAAAGAACAGCAGTTTATAAGAACTGGTGTAATAAAATATGCAAAAGAGAAAAGATGCCAAAGAAAAGATGCTTCATTACAGTTTGCAAATTTCTCTTGCTGCCTACCAGAATGAGGGTGCAGAAATGTACAATCCACATTCTTTAAAGGTATTGTGGGCACATTAGCTATAAGCAAAAGTACATCTGGAACAAATTCAAATATCATAAGAAATAGCAGGTCCCAAATATGCCAGTTGTGCTTTGCACATCTCACGTACCACTGTGACATATTCTTTGCCCAAACAGAAGAAGTAAAGGCAGGAGGAAGACATTTAGGAAGAGATTCAAATATTTCTGGGTTTCAAAAAATCCAGTGTTTGTAGAATCCCACAGGCGTATTTGGAAAACAAACACGTAGGCCATACCTATAGATAGAAACTGAAGTGTGAAAGTATGCCAAAATTATCGCAGTTTGCCTTTTATCCTTTTTTTTTTGTTTGTTTAATTCAAGAGAAAAGATTATCATAAAAGCTTGACTGCTACATATAGGACTGAATTTTAGTGACATATAAAACCACAATAACGTAATACAAGATGAAAGAAAGAGCCTTTGTTCTCCCTCTACTTTTCTTCTATGCTTTACTTTAGTAGATCTTGTCAAACTCAAAGTCTTCAAACTACTTCCAATAGTATTTTCACTGATTAATATCTAATCATAGTGAAAAAAACATAGACCTAGAACTCCTGATGCATCAGAGTTGCTCTTTACTTCTTGCTGGTACATTTGCAGATGCTGCGTCTGCTGATTTCAACCTCCCTACACCTTTCATTCCCCAGGAAAAAGGACATTTTTGTCCACCTCTGCTAAACTGAACCAAACTAAAGACCAAGTGTTGACAAAGCTTTGGTTTGTTTTCTTTGAACCATTCTCCATGTAAACTCTGATAGTGTAAAGTAGTGACTAAACACAGCATTTTCATACGCTAATACAAACAGGCTCTATGTAAAATCAAAGAAATATGACGAGATTGTAGCACTGTAAATTGAGGTTCTGGCAGACACCAAGCAAAGCACGGCTGATCTCTGTGCCAGGGGCCATACTCACATCAGCATAGTGGCCCTTCATGTCGCAGCGGTTGCAGTGTTTGTTCCAGTAGGCTCTCTCCAGGCATTCCTTGAAATAGTGCCCGGGCAGGCAGCAGTTCAGACAGAAACGTGCTGGGCAGCTGTGCTGCAGATGGTCTCTTCCTGCACACAGACAGCAAGGGGGAACTTTCTGTGGACAAACAGAAACAGAATCACGGTAAGTGACAGTGTTCCAATAGATCCCTCCAGCTCTCCTGCCCTGACACGGGGTGGGCACTCGGCTGGCATCCCAACACACAGTTCAGCACTTGGGGTGACAAACAGAGCACACACACAACTATTCTGAGGCCAAACCTGTATCTCTGCAGAGGCAGTGAGTGTATTTTCCCCCGAGGGTTGTGTGGAATGTGCTCATTCTGAGTGTCCTCGTGGGTAACAGCCCCACGGACTGAGGGTTTTACAGATTCTGTTATGGGGGTTGGTAAATCCAGGCTGTCGTGCAATGGCTCCCACCTGACTGACTGACTTTTAAACCTCTAGCCACAAGACACACTTTTGGAATATTTGGCATCTACCTGAGCTTCTTAAAGTCAGCTCCAGTTTTGTCTTGTCCACGGTTTTTAACACTGTTCGTATCATGGCTCATTATACTTTCTGCTTTCACTTTACTAAGGCTGTATTTCTGATTCCATAGATTCTCCTTGTTGAAAGTACAATTGAGAAATATTTAACACTTACTGACTGTTTTAGCATACAAAAAAAAAGATGTTTCTGCATGGCACTTGATACTTTTTTTTTTTGTTCAGTTTACAGCCACATGGTTTAGTGGAAGTTGTTCCTGCCCAGGGCAGGGAGGGTTGAATGAGTTAATCTTTTAAAATCTCTTCCAATACAAACCATTCAATCGGATTCTATATGATATAACTTTGCATATTTTTCTTTTATAAAAACAGTAAAAGCAATGACATCACCAAACAGAGGGATAATTTTATAAAGTAAACTGCTCTTGTGCAAGCTGTCCTGCAAGTCAGAGCACTGCCTCAAAGAAAGGGTAAAGCACTCAAACAATGATTCTAACAGCAAGCACAAAGGTATATGAGGAAAAGAGCCGAATGTTCAAATGATTTAAGCGTTGCATTTACCTTTGGAGTGGGACAGTTCTTGGACAAATGTCCTCGTCTGTGGCAGTTCCTACAAGTAACATTTTTGGCAGCTGAGTAGTACCGCATGCTGCTGTGCCTCACGCCCGCATAGTTGGAGATCTGTGCCTGGTGAAACAGAGAGAGAAATGCATTTACCACTTGAGATTCTGTGCTTTGGGAACTGGGAATTATAAAGGTCACTGCTGGCAGTGATCCAGCAGAAATCTAATGTTTCACATGTGCAGTTTACACATCCAGGTTTGGAATGGGTAATTCTGTTACAGAGAAACCTGCATTGTCTGGAAGAAAAGTTCTTGTTTGAACTTCCGTTTCAGGACATTCTGTTTTGGTATTTAAAACTGCAGATGTGAAGCTTTCCCTGAATTAACCAAGATACTTTTACACACTGTGCTATGTCAGGACAAACTGCAATTTTCTCCAGATCACAAATATAATGAACATCAAATTGCAAATGCAAGTTACATATTCCCTGGTGCACATTAAGGCAAACTGCTTGGACAAAGTACAATGCTATACAAGTCTGGATGAAATCTGCAATTTGCAATTGTAAAGAAAGACTTAAAAAGGAAAAAGAAAAAAAAAACACAACAAAACAAAAAAAGAGAAGCTGGAAACAACTGTGTCTCTCCCAGTGACCTCACACAGACTTTCTGTGTAGGCAGCCAGAATTGAAAATCCTATCTACAACTGGCATTGCCTAGTAAAAATCACGAGTTTAAAAAAAATACATGAAATTTTGGATGAGTGAACAGGAGAGGTATAAAAATACTATTTCTCCTCAAGGAAAGAATTTGTTAATGTCCCTTGATTGTATCAGCTGTAGTGGACATTGGAAAGAAAAAGGGAAGGAGCTGGACACAGCAGCTGAAGCTGACTCCTCCTGGATGCCCCAGCACTCCAGGCTGCAGTGTCCCCCGCTGCCCCTGCACCGAGCCCGGGGAGGCTCCACACTCTGCTGGCTCCAGGCTGCCTGGAAGGGACCAGCCCGCCCTGAAACAGCTCTGGGGCTCCAGAGACACCAGGGAGGAGGAGCTGGTGTCCGCCTTGCCCAGTCTGTGGGAGCACTCCAGCTCTTGGCATCCCTGTCCCTTCCTGCCTCTATGCCAGCCCCAACTCAACAACTGCTTCCTTCTGTTGGAGGACACTGATAATCGTCCCACAGAAACACCACAGAGGGGTTTTTCAATCCCGTTTACTTTATAAGCAACACAAAAAAGAACTGTAGAAAAATTTGGTTGTCTTTATTTACCTCTAAGTCTTTATGAGAGATGGACCAGTTCACATCAATTTTTCCTGGAAAACAAAATTATAATTAATTATATTTAATTTATATGAATATTTTTCTATAATATATTCAACATTATGATTACTGCAGTTATTGAAACTGCTAACAGATTTTGAGGTACTAAAGCAGAGAAACTAGTTCCATCTTTGGTAAAGGAAAGCTACTGACCCACTGAGCACCAAACCTGTGTTACTCGAGTGTCAGCACAGGTGCAACTATTGGGAGGAGTTTTTCCGACACCACACCCTTGTCCTGACCTCTGGGGTTTAAATTCAGGTGGGGATTTAAATCTTCCAGAGGCATGGGCTCCAAACGTGCTGATTCCAGCCACTGGAGTTGTCCCTGCCTGGGTTGGTGGGGATGCCCAGCTCCAGCCCAGCAAGCCTGGGAGGGAGCACAGTTAAGTTAGTGCAGAGCAGACCCTTTTCCTCCTTGTGAATTCACCAAGTCTGTGTCTACAGCCCTGCATCCTGACTGCTGCATGCCAAGACGACTGAGCATAACCTCAGGCACCCAGACTGTAATCTGAGCAAATCTATTTCCAAACAGGGTTTGGTAATGTGCAATAAATCAGCAGGACACACTGAATTATCGACTGTCACGCCATAACCTTCTCACATGCAGCCTTTGGGCTGGCAGGAGTCAAAGGAAACAAACCAAGAAGGAAATGAAAGGGCAATAAGCTAAAGGGATAGGGATGCAGCTCGAGCTGTTAAAAATTCTGCATGTGAACACGGCTCAGCGCTCTGGCTGCACACACAGCTGTGCTCCCCCAGCAGCTCCTCGCTGCTGCACAAGGATCCACCTCAGCTCAGGTGCTCACCTTACCTGCACTTTACAGCTAACATTACAGCCTATGAGCAAATTAACCCTGCATGTTTGCCAGCTCTCAAATACAACCTGTCCCATCCGATCCCACATCTGAATCTGAGGCATCAGATCAGGCATCACAACATCATCACAATTTACAGACAGCAAAAATTTCTCTACTTTAGATTGTACTATTCATTTCCATTAGAAGGTGGATGACTAAAAATTAAAATGATATAATCTGTAATTTTATGTCTTCCTCTTCATTTACGGAAAAGGTCAGTAATTTTGGCTGAGGTGTGTGATGCAGTATTGGGATACAAGATCACTCAGGTGCTTTAGGGCACTTTACCTGCTTACTGCTGCTCCTCATTCAACAGTCAGGGCTCACACCTGTTTTCACCTGAACAACATCCTCAAGTATTTTTATTTTCAACACTTGCTCATGCCAACGACTGTCACCGAGACATGGATAATGCACTACCTGGCCAGGTAAAAAAGCCATGTGAGTGATGTATGCCCCTGAGTTGTGGCACACAGAGTGACTGCCAGTGCCAGGACTGCAGCACCCACCTGCACTGTCCCCCAGCATCTCTGCGGATCTCAGGGGCACGGGTGGGACAGTGACACCCCACGGCAGGAGCAAGTTGTGGGGATACTCCAGAGAAAATCAAGCCTTTTGAGGCCTGATTATTAAAAGTAAGGAAGCACTGTCATATTTGAGTGCATTATTTATGGCTTTAATGACTGTTAAGGAAATTAATTCATAAAGAAAAGGGTATTTGTAATTCAAAGCTCTGCCTTGGCAGTCAGCACCACAAGTGCTGTGTTGCACAGAAATGCACATGCAGAATGGTCACAGATCAAAATTACCAGCGAATTAACTCCTGTTAATCACCAGGCATGTCCTTCCTGAGGGCAAACCAACCAAGTTTCTCTTCTTCACTGTCAAAATCCCCAGCTTCACAGGGGAAAACCATGATACAATGATTCAAATACTCCTAATACAAGAAGCTAAAACTGCTCCACTCAGAAAATAGATATAAGAGCTTTAATGCTGAATGAAATATTACAAGAAAATCTCCCCTTACTAAATCTGTTTGGTGATCTAAAAGTTAATTCTAATTCACAATAGATTGCATAAGGCTCTGCTTTCACACACAATAAATTCTTCAGACTGAAACACCTAGGGAGAGTTTTGCCTCTGCAACCAAGGTGAAATCCTGCTGCAGACACACAGAGAAAAATCTGCAACAATATTTCTCGCTGAACACAGCGTTATGCCTGGCTCTAGGTCATAGAATAAATCACAAAAGTCTTATCCAACTGACAGATACTTTCCCTTCCTTCTGATTTTGTTTGGTTATTTGGGTGATTTAAAGTGTCCCGCAGGCACTGCCCGTGCCTGGTGGGTGGCTCCTGGCCACTCCTGCAGTGTCCTGGCCGCTCCCTTGGCTCCCCAGCAGCAGCAGCAGCAGCAGCAGCAGCAGCCTGGCAGGTTGGGGTCCCCTGTGCCACGCTCTCTGCACCCCTCCCCTTCCTTTGCCACCTGGGTTTCCCTCCTGGTGGCGCGGCCTCGGCGGTGGCTGTGCCCGGGGGCAGGTGGGCAGGTGGCACCCAGAGTCACTCGGGGTGGCTCAGGGGCCAGGCTGGGCTGGCCCAGGATGATGCTTTCCCAGCCGCAGAGCACGGCCGGGGGCTCCATCCCCGCCACACCTGGCAGACCCCTGCACCTGGGGTGCTCCAAGGGCAGCAGCACAGCACAGCGTTCCAGCCTGCTTTTAACGCGGGCATGCACACAGAACGCGCATTTCTGCCTGAAGGAACGGCTGTCATTGCTTTATTTTTGCATTTGCTTTAGTTTCATTTTTACTCTTCAGAGAACAGCAGTTCAAAGACTTACTGTGACGATCCCTGTCCAGATTTACCCCTTTTTTGGTGGGGAAGTTTCACATACAAAACTTACCTAAAGCTTTCTGTCAGTTAAATAAAACCGAGAACATCTTTGATATATTTGTGCTTTTAATTTTCCTCATCTTCGTTTGTTAAATGCTATCTCCTTTATAAGATTATATTAATTTCTACACTAAGCTTAATACTAAGATGAATTCCTGTACTATGATTATATATATTTCTATACTAAAAAAATACAACCGACTTTACTGTATAAACTTCTAGTATTTATACTTGTATTTGTACTATATATACTTGTATTTTTACTAACTTGTAATTATACTATAGAAAATGGTGTTGTCAAACTGCAGACCAGGGAAGAGGAGGATGTAAAATACAAACTATTTATATGAAAATGGAAGCCTTGCACAAGGTTCTTCCTTTATCAAGTACCACATTTTGGCTGTCCTCTGCCCCTGCACAATGGGATGAATGGCGAGCAACAGCTTTGCTTTTATTTAAAGAAAAATTTTGAAAGATCATTGAGATTCACATGTATCCTTCCACCAGCATGAAAATGTAAATTTCTGAGCAGCGCTCGGGGTGAAGCCAGATTTAGGACCACTGTTCAATGTGCATTCAAACCTCCCCTCTTTCATCCCAGACAGGGAGAGGAGGGGAGGAGGGAGAAGGAGGACCAGCAGTCAAAACCTGAAATTGCCCGGAGGGACAATCTGCTTCCACGGAACAAAACACTGACTCAGAATAAACAATAAACGGTTCACAAAATTTCCTTATCTGCCGTGCTGCTCCACCAGGGAGCCAGGCAGCTGATCAGGCTGCCCTGGCCAGGCAGGGCAGGGCACTGCTGGGCATGGGCTGTGACCCCCTCCCCAAAAATCACACTCGTGTTTCACTCAGCAGGGCTGGGGGAAAACACATCCTTACACACGCCTGCCCTGCAAGGGTTCGTGTCATCACCTTCTTCAACAACAGACAGGCTGCAGAGCACAGACATCCAACTTTGAAAATAAAACACTAAATTTCCCAAAACAAGAAGGCAAGTGGTCATGTCCCCCTTCCTTCTAATTGGAAAATACATGACGAGAAGTATTTTACTTATTTTATTTTATGATCAGCCCAGTGAAACAGGGCACTTCAAGCTGTGGCACAATGATACGTGGCCTGAAGGGCAAACGCATTTCAAAGCTGGGCTTTAAAAATTGGATTTTTACTGCTAATTAGTATAGCATATTACAGAATAGAGAACTCTAATTATATTCCACTGTAAGATTTCCGTGGCAAGGACTGTTTCAGACATATCTCTGAACAATATTTACCATACCAGGACACAGCTTCTGCTGCTAGTGGAAGAGCATTTAAAAATTGTAAGCCTTAAAACCCCTAAAAATCACTAGATCTGTACGAATTTCACATTGTGACATATTACATATATCTGAAGATTCCTGATTGTGAGTGACCTGAAGTGATTCATGTCTTACAGTCATGCAGCTTGCTGTAATGAGTTTTACATTTTCTATGCCCACGTAGCCCTCCTCACAAGAGAAAAAGGAATGAGAGCGTGGCTGCAGGAACAGCCCTGGCAGAGGCAGAGGAATTTGGGTGTCTGTGCACCAGGACACACCTTTCCCTCCTGGCAGAGGTGTTTCCAGACACGGGGGTGTGTGCAGGGCCCTGCCTGGGGCTTGTGCACGTTTCTGTGTGTGCACACCTGTGCTTGCACACCTGACACGATGGACAAGGGGCAGGTCCTGCTTGTGCTGGCAGAAACTCCCACTCGATGGAATTCCAGGCCCATGCCAGCAGGGACCCCTCCCCGCAGGAGCTGCTCGCTGGCCGTGGGGCTGCAGCCCCCTCTGCACAGCCCAGCTGCCCCTTAGAGAGCAACAGCACCAACCCTGGGGTGCTGTCCTTGGACATTTCTAGGGATTGCCCATCTTCTCCTTGATAACATAAAAAATTATTTACTTAAAAGCAAAACACCTGCTGTTTAATGGAATACCTGTCAATATCTCTTTAAGACAGCTTTAAAAGAGATCTGGAAGTCCCACAGGGAAGTCAGTCGATGGAATTGTTGACAGAAGTTCAATTTGAGACATTTTCTCATGGCAAAAAAAGGCTCTCTTGCCTCTCCCCTTCATACTAAAATTATGTATGTGCCAGTGATGTGCACATGTTTTGGCAGTAGGGAAATCCCTGCAATGCTCTATTTTTAGCAACTTTTATCTGCCGTTTTTGAAAAGCATCACAAAATCCAACAAACAATACTCGACCCATTTTGAAA